AACTTTTTTTCTTTTTTCTTTTTTCGTACTGGTTTCTCTTCTACTGTACAGTTTCTACACAGAGCCATGGCATTAAAATGAATTATTGCTAAGGCTGAGAAAGTTGTCTAGGAAGGAATTTTGTATGTGGTTAAGGCAATACAGTGTGTATAAATCAAAGACCACTTAGGTAGTCTGATTAGGTCTTTAATGCTTCTGGAATGACCTCAGACAGGTTACTGGGACCAGACACAGAGCTAAATATTTTCAAGGTTGTGGGTTTGCCTTAACTATATAAACATGAATTTCCTAAGGAAAACTTGCATCGTCCCTATGCATCATGAAGAGAAAATTCATATCCTGCGGCAGGGAGGGAGGAGGAGGGGAAAACGAGATAACAAAGAATGCTGTTAATCCCCCCTAAAATCACTGATGTCCACCCAAATTTACCCCAAACTTACGGATCTGGGCTGTCCCGAGAACCTCCGATTGTAATCATTAACATCTTGAAATACCTGGGTTGCACCCTGCTGATCTTCACCAAAAAGTGGTAAAAACAGGGTTACCTAGGCACAGCAGGGATATTTAAAGATTGTTAAAAACGAGCATTTTTCTGAACACCTAGATGGTTTGTTTCAGAAGTGGGACAGATTATTTGGACAATGAAGGTAATTTACCAAATTCATCTAGTTTTGTTTCTTAAACTGAAAATCAAATAAAGCAACCAACGAGGCCATTCTTATTTGAGCTCTAGAGTGGTGTTGCGTTTCAGCAAACAAGCAGCAAAACTCCTACTTTTTCATATGGATGTTTATACCAAGATCAAGGAGAATAATACAGACTAACAAGTTAACATAAGAAGATACTAACTTTCAGCTCTTTTGTAAGCACAGTGAATTCTGCTGTGTTCTTGGGATAACTTCCATGCAAACACAGAAAAATGTGGAAGGTCACATTCACATACATCTTCCGTAACCTTTCTGTGTTGGAGTTTCTGAAAATTCAAGACTTGTACCTGGTAGCAGTATTCTGGTGTAAAATGCAGGTTATCGCAAGAAAGAGAAAATGCATAGCACGTTCAATTAGCACAGTGTCACTTGGCCACTAAATAGATACCTTTTATCTGTGCAGCAGTGACATTTAGCAAATGACAGCGGGACCTGATCTACATTCAACTCCCAGCCCTGCCGTAAAAGTTCTGCACAACTCGTGTCGTTCACTGCGTACACACTTCCATTCCCCATTTATGAATCAGACCTCAGTTTTCTTACTTTGCAGGGTGAGGACGAAGGCATAACCAGGCAAGCGGTGCCACCCAGTTTACCTGTTACTCAGAGGAAGGTAGAAGAATATTAATGTAAGGAGAGATGCTAAAAAAAATCGCTTGTTTTCCTTTTTCATCTTCCTCACTCTTATTTTCTGTCTCTCTCATCACTGGCTACACTACACCTATTTACTCTTCATCTAGCCATACCTATTTTTCTTTCCTTCCTCTGTCTTCCTACAGCCACTTGTCTTGCTGATACACACAATCAAAGCAAGCCATGATGTAAGGGCAAAGGCGTGAAGCATGTTACATAATTCATCAGAAGTCACTACCTCTGTAGGTAGAGCAGTGTTAAAACAAAGATGTACTTTTGTTACATCATACAGTCTAAGACTCAGAGATCCTAAGAGTTAATGAGTTGCAGGGACATACTTCAAACTGACAGTGTAAGTAAGTTGCGTAGGAAGTAAGTTAATGCTTGCTCTACACAAAGCTCAGATTAATAATACATACAAGCTAAAAATAGGGACAAAATAGAAATTGACATGGATAGGTTTTTCTGCAGGGAGAGGAGGAAGGGAGAGGGTACTTCTCTCAGAAACCAGTAGTTCTGCCTACTGGCAGTCTTCCACAAGAGCCAGGCCTTTCAGGTACAAGTTGTGCTAAAGAAGTTATGTAAGACCCCGAACTTCTGTTTTCACATACTCCTTTACAGAAGAATAGCTGAGCTATCAGCACTGTTCACGTAAACCTGAGTTGCAGGAACAAATTGTATGTTTTGAGGTGTTCGGCAAAGATTAAAAACCCCTTGATGTCCACCATCCACGTCTCTCACATGCACGTTTTTTCAGCTCCGCAGACGACTACTGTCAATCTCACTACTGCAGTTTACATCTAAGTGCTTTTTTGGTATGCCACACCAGATAGGTAGCCAAACTGTCAAGTCCACTATTACTTAAGGTATTACCGTTTGTCTGCAGATGGGACAACGGATGGCACCGAGCCATGAGCCATACCTCCAGTAGACAATAATGCAGAAACCTGGGGAAGGAAAGTCACAGACGTTTAAACCTCTGAGCTGAAACAGCCTTTGCATGACATAATACGTTACACACCAAGGAAGACAACAGAAGTGTTCAAGCAGTTAGGTTGAATCTATCTTTTCTGCTGTAATTTTGTATACGGCTCTCACTGAAGATACCAAGAACCAATGTGTTCCAATTCAGTGCTATTAAGGAGAAAAATCCTGCATAGATCCAACTACCTCAATGACTTTAAGGTATTATTTCATGGAAAGACAGAAAAGCTCTCAATCGTTGACTGAATAAGTGAATAATTAAAGATTTTACCAGTTTAAAATTTACAAGTCTCAAAAATGTCAGGAGATGTAAAATTTATCCTGAACACCTGACAGTTTTTTTTAATTAGTGTGTCAGCAGGTGAAGGAATATATGAAAATCTTAGTACTTGAAGTGTTTTCCAAATTTGCAAATTTTTTTCTTTTAAACAACGAGGCCTGGTATGCACTGTATACTCCATAGAACTAGATGAATGCAGTGAAAGAATCTTACTGGGTACCTGAAAGAGAGAAAGCAAAATGCTACATGGGGCATTTATGAGTAAATTTGAATAGCTGGGCCTCAGAAAACACATTAAGTATTGTGAGCTTCATCTTAATTCTTCAGGACTACCAAGGAAAAAGCCACAAACAACCCACCTTGAGATAAAGATAATAGCAAGCAGGATTTTTTACTCTTTCTAAGCCATTTTTTTAAAATGGTACGTTTCCAAGTGTTTTTTGGCCTTTTTGGCTTTTCACTAACTGGAAATAAGTTACACTCTCTGTCGCTCACATTTTAAAATTAACCACAGTTTCAGTCTGGATAGCATAAAGAAACCCAGACATCACACTCTCAAAGTGACTGTTTATTCATAAGTTTATTTTCTCAACTATGGATATAAAAATTATGGCTCATGCAAACTGGAAGATAAACAGTTAAAATTAAAAAAAGCCTTGCACTGGAGTGACTGTGCCAGTGCTAAATGTTAGTACTTCTGTTCCGGTTTTACCTTTCCGTTTGTGTTCTGGTTTTATCTCTGGGGCTTGGGGTTTTTCTTGCTTACCACAGAAGAGATGTCCACAGTTTGTTTCTATAGGAAATGTAGCCTGTTGCAAACAGATTGGACAGGACATATCGGTGTAGAAGCGATGTCTATCACCAGCAGAAGCGTCCTGCAGTAACAGAAGAGAAATGCAAAGTGTTAGAGATACTATTTTTATGTAAGTCTACTGAGTTGTCATGGTTTAACTCCAGTTGGTAACCAAGCACCACACAGCCCCCATCAACTCCCCTTAGTTTATATACTGAGCATGGAGTCTCCTTCTCTGGAGATATTCAAAACCTGCCTGGATGTGTTCCTCTGCAATCTGCTCTAGATGAACCTGCCTTGCAGAGGAGTTGGACTAGATGATCTCCAGAGGTCCCTTCCAACCCTGACCATTCTGTGATTCTGTGATTATGTCACATGGTATGGAATGTCCCCTTGGCTGGTTTGGTTCAGCTGTCCTGGCTATAGTCCCTCCCAGCTTCTTGTGCCCCTCCTTGCTGGCAGACCATGCGAAGCTGAAAAGTCCTTGGCATAGTATAAGCACCACTTAGCAACAAGCAGAACGTCACTTTTATCTCATAATTCTCAGGACAAATCCATAACACAGCACTCTATCAGCTACTAGGAGAAAAATTAACCCTATCCCAGCTGAAATCAGGACATTTTTTAATAATTAAAAATAATAAACAGAATTATTAGTTATTAATAAATATTTTAAAAATCTTAGTATTTCAAAAATAAAAATAATCCAGTATTCATTTACTAGAAGTCAGTCAAATGCAAAATGATGCTAAATTAAACTGCCATGAAATAGTTCTTCTCCCCACTTTACCACGCTTGTCTTCCACATAAATATGCACTATAGTTAAAAATCTGTCATTATTTCAAGAAGTATTATGCTGAAAGAGTTTCGCCACTACTGTCCAATAGTATTGCTTTTCAATCCAGGACTGGGACTCAGCAATTTCCACTAACTTGGTCAAAACTCTCCCATCCTCTACATGCCAGAACTGGAAACAATCATGGAACTATAGAATGGTTTGGGCTGAAAGGACCTTTAATGATCATGCAGTTTAATTCCACTGACATAGGTAGGGACATGTCACTAGATCAAGTTATGCAAAGTCCCGTCAATCTGACCTCGAACACTCCAGGGATGGGGCATCTACAGTTCTCTGGAGAGCCTGTTCCAGTGCCTCACCACCCCCATCATAAAAACTTTCTTCCTTATGTCCCATCTAAACCTAACCACTTTCAGTTTAAAACCATTGTCCCTTGTCCAGTCACTAAAGACTTTGGTAAAATGTTTCTCTCTGGAAAACATTGTTGCCCGGCTCTTGTTGCTGTGCCATTGTTCTGCTACACATGATTTATCAGTCTAAACATCTAACCTCTGTCCTGTGGCAGCAAGCTGCACTGCAGATTTGCTTTCCTTTACCACTACGTTCCCAGGAACACTGCAGGAAGCACACAACATAACCTAACATACTCCACCTTGTGGCAAAAACTTGTTTGAAAACAACCAACCAATTATTTAATGATTAAAAAAAAAAAAAGCAAGCCTATGTTGTCACAAATTTTGATAAATTCAAAGGATGCCTCTGTATAGTAAGATCCATAACTTCTAAGACTAGCTTCTACCAGAACCTCAGAGAAGTCTACGCTACCCCAAACCAGTCAAATGACACCAGCACTTAGCACAGCACCTGCTCAGTTTGAAGCTGCTGACGAAGAGCTCGCACTAGCTCTTGATTTTCTGGGTGTATGTTCTGATGTTCATTTCTGCGAAAGGAAATACAAGCAATAACAATACAAGGAAATACAAGCAAGGTTCTTGAATAGAAAAATGAGAGAGAAAGATCTGAACTTGCAGATTCATAATCATGGGTTTGGTAAGTCATCTGGGACGAAGCAGGGAGTCTCTGATACACAACAATGTAGGGTTAGGGTGCCTTTAATTTGTTGGATAAACTAGATTTCAGTCACATTTGACATGTAACAATCTCATAGATGTAAAAGTTGATGGGACAAATCTGGCTGTATTTTGTCACAATTTATAATTCAAAGACATACAGCTGCAAGAGGGTGGACTTGTGGGCTTTAAATAGTTACTCTCCTTTTTCTGTGTTTTGCAAGAGGATAGCTGTCATCTATGTTCACCTTTTGTTTTGTTTAAGTAATATTAGAAATATGTACAAATTTGGAGTATAGTATGCAAAGTTTTTCTGGCTCACTGCTAGCCAGGAGGTTAATGGACTTTCTTTTGCCTTATGCTGTCAAACAGAAGCTGTGCCTTGCTGCCTGTCCATTATCTTAGTGTGGATCAGTTTGGGCACATTTGCCTGATGGTATTAATTTTTCTAGTAGTGTAGCAGTCTTTTTCAAGATAAAAACAACTTTGCTCTTTTGTACTTTGAGCACTGTTCTGCTGTTTGTATTCAACTCCTACTTTTAAAGGACAGTTCTGTTTTCCTCTTTTGGTGAAACTTCATGCATCCCAGTTCTATGGGTTGCATCATCATGTAGGCTTCTGTGAGTCACAGTGGTGAAGATGGAAGCTTACTCTTCTTATGCTTCTTGCACTTTCCTGGGTTACTAAAGTTCATTGGTGCTTACTGGAATGTGAATGTATGTATCCTATAAATGTGGGTGTATTGGGTAAAGTTTGGCAGTTTTCTACTTACTAATAGCTTGTATTTTGAGAAGAGAAAGCTTCGGTAGTGAATACTACTTTCAAATAAAACATGATTAAGCAGATAAAAGCTTGTAAAGAGCTGTCAGTTTATGGTGCTGTGTTAGCCCTTTCTATTACATACCATATTTTCATTTTATCTTCATCACAAATGCTGTGTAGTATTCCTTTTCTTCAGCTGGCTTATCTGGCTTTCAACTGAAACAGGAATACATTAATTTTTTTCCCTGGAGTTGGTAGATCATCTTGTCTTCTCATGGATATTTCTGAAATAGTTAAACCAAACACCATTCAGCCTTAGGACTCTGTTCATTGTATCTTAATAACGTGTCGTACTTGAACGCTTCCATTAGCAGCAATTTAGTGACAGTGTCGAGATATGACGGTATAAACCAGTTATTGCTGCACTGGCACAGTCGATTCACAGTCCTTTAGTAAGTAAACTTTAATCAAGGCATCTCTTCTACTTTCTGCACTGTGTTTCTGGAAGGGAAGTGTTTAGTCTTTGGGAAACTTAAACTGTGAATGAAATACTGTGATTGCGGTCTGTCAGCTTTGACCTGTTAAGATACTTCGGGCTGAACACAGTGTATATATAAAATGAGAAGAAAATTAATTAAAATAACATTCAACTTCTCCCTGAAACAATCCCCACCTTGGCCAGTAATGAAAGACCTTGAAATCTTATTGTTTGGCTAATTGAGTGCCTATCCTTATGGCTGGATTACAGAGTATTGAGACTTTAATAAAAATCAGTGAAAACATCTCAAAATTCAAATCCTGGAATAAAACTGTTGCTTGTTAGAGGGTCTGGATTTTGTTTCATGCAGTCTGCTGCTGTCATGGAAAGCATAAAAAAACAGTTTATGTAATGAATGGCTATCAGAAGATGGCAGTACTGCTAAGTGAGAGGAGAAAAATAGGTGAAGAATCCTTAAAGTTGTCCAGAAGCACAGGATTTTGTTCTAAGATAGGAATCCAGTTCTCATTATGGTAGATCTGGCTCAATACAAGAATTTGGCATCTGAGGAAGAACAACTTTCTGTATCGCATAATTAGCTCACGATCCTGAAAAAAATAATGGTCAGGTTTCCCCCAGGAAGCTGAGTGAATTTTTTTTTTTAGTGGGATCCGCATGGATCTGATAGGTGATATTGGGTGAATGTATGAGAACAGAAATACTCAACCCTCCTCAATCTTCTCTGCCGGTTTACTCTTTCAAGTCTTGTTGCGTGTTCCTGCTAATGGCTTGAGTACTGATTCACATCCAACCTGGTGAGGCTGGTTCCTACGTTGTTCTTACTCTTTTTACCCACTTCTCCCTATGTTATCTGTGCAATTTGTTTCTTTGATGACACAGTATTGTTCTAGGCTCTACATGACAGCCAGTTTTAAGTTTACATAGGCTGTTCCAAAAATATAGGGAAACAAAGGGTGAATAATTCTAAAGGTTCATTTGTAGTTTGGGGAGTACTTTGCTCTGATGAATAACTAGTTGCATACTGGGTGTTACCTTTTGTTGTGTTTGCGTATAAGGTAACCAGGCACAGCGTTTATTTGCTAAGAACGTCTAATAAAGATTTTGGGTATTATTACGAAAGAATCATAAAAGGTCTAGTATGCAACTGCATCAGCAATAAAACCCAAGCTATGTATGTAATCATTGTGCAAAGAGCAGGTATTTCATTAACTACTGATGTTGAGAAGGGAAATGTGCTGTTAAACCGTTTTTGTCTTGGAGGGGAAGGAGGTTGTGTGTGGTTTTTTGTTTTTGTTTGTTTGTTTTGGGGTGTGGTAGTGTGGCTGGTTTTTTCCCACCAGCTTCATGGGATTCTAGATTCTCAATTACAGCTTTTATCCTGTCTTCAGCTACTGTCTTTGAAAACTGTTTGTCCAGTTCTCTGACCTTTGTATCAAGAGTATTTTTCATTAAATACATTTCTACCTCCTATCCTTAGTAGCTGACAAATCCTCACTAGTCATATATGTAATCTGGAACTGTAGCTCAGATTTTCTAAGGTTCTGATTTCCTGCAGCAATTGTTTAGCCCCCAGTGATAGGCTCCTTTGGATTGAAACAGTCACTTGCTACTCCTTATTTATGGTTTATGTAAAAATTGACAGCTCATGTTCATGGCTGTGTGAATCAGGGTTCTGGATGAATACTTAGTAAATGAAATAAAGAAATAAATAGGTGCTTGTTCTCCACATCAGTGTTAAATGGTGTTGGTAGAGTGATTGTGTGCCATTCCAAAGGAATTATGAGAATCTGGATATTGTGCTCTTGATTCTTTGAGAGCCTTCTCCTCAAAAATGGACCTGAAAAATTTCCTACTGTTATATGAGTTGTCTTTTATTGTAAGATATGTATCTAAAGGATATCAGAAGGATACAGACCAGTTGGAGCGAATCCAGAGGAGGGCCACGAAGATGATCAGAGGGCTGGAAAACCTCTCCGATGATGAAAGGCTGCGAGAATTGGGCTTGTTCAGCCTGGGGAAGAGAAGGCTCTGGGGAGACCTTATTGCAGCCTTCCAGTACCTGAAGGGGCCTACAAGGAAGCTGTGGGGAGACTTTTTGCAAGGGCCTGTAGTGACAGGACAAGGGGTAACAGGTTTAAATAGAAAGAGGGTGGATTTACATTAGATATCTGGAAGTTCTGGTTTATATTGAAAGCAGGGAGGTTTAGATTAGATATCAGGAAGAAGTTCTTCACAGAGAGGGTGGTGAGGCACTGGACCAGGTTGCCAGAGATGTTGTGGATGCCCCATCCCTGGATGTCTTCAAGGCCAGGCTGGATGTGGCTTTGAGCAACCTGGTCTAGTGGAGGATATCCCTGCCCATGGCAGGGGGGGTTGGAACTAGATGATCTTTAAGGTCCCTTCCAACCCAAACCATTCTATGATTTTATGATTCTATGACATTTATTAGGAAATGGTTTGGACCAGCATTAGTATTTCAAATGCCACTAAAGCATGTTCATAACATACAGAAAAAAATGGTTGATATGTCTAACATCTATATAGCCTGAATTTGCAAGCTGTCTTGTAGGCTTTCTCTCTCCCTTGTACATATGAATAGTACTTCCCACCAAAAAGGCCAGGCTTCCTGTAGGAGGAGGATAATATGAAAGAGCATTAGGCAGATTCCCTCCAAACAACATGTCTTCAAAATTATTTTCACAGAACTCATACACATACTTGAAAAATGTTAATTTAAAGTAAGTGATCAAATAACTTAGGCCGGTTAAGATGACTGCTGAAGTGGAAAAGCTCTTACACACCAAAGGAGGATAGGAGAAAAGAGCTTTTGCCTTGTGTATTTGTGCATTTGCTCATACAGTAGAGTGAGGGTTTCAGGTAGTCTGTATGCATGAAAATGATGTTGATAAATAGAAGCCATAGAGAAATTGTATGTATTGGTGAGTGGATTTTTGTGAAGAGATTATTGTTGCTCTGTGTAATCTAGATTACACAGCATCCTCAGAGAATTAACCTTGGATTGGTCTCAGTAAGTGTGTTCAGTGTGCAGCCTTGGAGGGGAATGTGTTACAAGCTAAATCATCTTTAGTCATAAGTAATTGTGTCATCGAACAGCTCAGTCCTATGGTCCTTGCTATTCCTCTTCAGAACAGCAGCATTTTTGAGTCTTGGCTTCCACCTGAACACCAGAGGTGTGCCATTATATGGATTTTACGGTCTGTCACAGTGTTAATAAAACACCCTGAAATATTCAGAACACTAGCAGTGTGTAGACCTGTTAGGATGTAGCAGCATTTTGCTCTCCTCTTCCATCTGACAGTAGGAACTAGTTTGATCTTTGGGTTGTGGGGAACCTGTGAGAGTTCTTGTGTGATCAGTGTTACTTCCAAAAACTGACTTTCTTGCTTAGGCTTGTTGAGGGAGTGTACTTGAATATATACTCCTGAAGTACTTTGGGAGAAGAGAAGGCCCAGTGGCATTCCAAATTAGAAAATGCTGTGGAAAATTTGCCTTTTGGAGAATATACTGCTGTTGTTTGTAGCAAAGTTTACAAATTTGTGAAAACAAAGATGCTAAGCCCTGTCAGTAGTTCATTTCCTTGATCACTATTGAATGTGAAACTTCTTAATTCCTAACATGTACACTGTGTGGAATTTATGCTGTTCTATTTTTTATTTGGTAGCATTATTTTTTACTTCTGAAAATCCACTGACATTGAAGTAAAAGAAGATAACCCTTGCCTTTGTTCCACAGATCCAGACATTTAATGTTGAGGCACCATGCCAGACCGTGGAAGATTTAACGAGTGGGGTTGTGATGGCCCAGGTTCTTCAAAAAATGTAAGAAATCGTTTATTTTATTAAACACACACATTTTTATTATTTAATTTAAGTATATTTAGCATTTGAGTATATTTTAGTTCAAACTTGACTGATATTCCATAAGGATGAGGTTTTTCATATGCTTAGTACTTAAATCTGGAATATGACTAATATGTTTTTTTTCTCTATAGTTTCAGGTAACTCTCTTAATTGAAACAAAATTTTTAGGGAGGTATTTATTGAAGTGTGAGTTTACTGGAAAGTGAGTTTGATTAAAACTAAACTTAATTTTAATAAAATCAAACTTTTTATAAATGTTGGAACCAGTATAAGGTAAGGTGTTGGCCCTCATCATTTGAAAGTACAGTCAGTATGTCAGTAATGTTAGAATTAGTTCCATGCAATAAAACTTCTGTGATAGACTGATGAAGCTTTCAGTGTAGTTGTTTGCAAATATTCTACGTTTTTGAAAGTAAGTGAAGGAATAATAGGTGTTACACCAGATAATGTTTTTTGCTCTTCTGAACAAATCATCTCAGGTATGATACAATGCATAATTCAACATTCAGTGTAATCTAGAAAGTTTCTGGGACTATAGATGTGCATCTGAAATGTAACTATATGCAGAATTACCCATTTTCACGGAAACACAGCTATCATTCATTAGAAACTTAAGCAGCATTTGCCGAAGTCAGCAGTCCAAATTGAGCATGCCAGTTCCCACAGATCTATTGTTTTTCAAAAAGATATGCTTTATTCCTTGTAACAGGAAGAGGATACTGTTTTGAGCATAAATGCAGAATAAAATGTGTTCTATTTAATTGTTAAAAAAAAATGGACAGGTACAGAATAGATATGAGCAACTTTCTATTAAATTCTTCTGGTTTGCATTGAAGAATAGTAGAATAGTTGAGGTTGGAAGGCACCTTTGGAGTGTTTAATGTAACTCACCTGCTCAGAGCAGAGTCTGGTACAGCAAGTTGCTTCACAATTGTGTCCAATCAGATTTTGAGTATGTGGAAGGATGGAGACTCCGCAGCCCCCCTGGGCTCCATGTTGCAATATTCAGTTGCTCTCACAGTTTTAACAACAAGAAAAAAGCAGCAGGGGGCATTTATTTATTTGTTTGTTTATTTACTAATTAATGTTCAGGTGGAAGCATTGTCTTTCAGTTTGTGTCTACTGCCTCTTGTCTGCTCACTAGACACCACTGAGAAGATTATGTGAGGTTATAAAGAAGAAGGAGCCATCAGGTATTTATATGCAGGATTGATAAGATCCCACTGAGCCTTCTCTTCATGAATCTAAACAGAGTCTCACCTCATATGACAGATGCTTCAGTCTGTTGATCATCTTAATTGCCCTTTGCTGAGCTTGCTTATATGCTCAGCTCTCTCTCATACTGGGGAGCCCAGGACATGACACTTCAGATATGATCTCACCAGAGCTGAGTACTTCCCTTGGCCTGCTGGCAGTGCTCTTCCAAAAATATCCCAGGATGTGGTTGGCTACCTTTGCTACAAGACACATTGCTGAAAACTTGACG